CTACAGAACTCAATGTAATACCAATCAATAACCCAGCAGATTTTTCCATGGAATTTGAAAAGTTGATTCTAAAGTTTATATGAAAATGTAAAGAGCCCAGGAAATCTTGAAGAATGATAAAACTAGATATTAAGATTTATTATAAAGCCACAGTAACTAAGACAAATAGAGCAACGGAATCAAAGAGAGCCCAGAAACAGATCCACACACATATGATTTACTGATTAGCTATGACTACGGTGACACTGTAATATAATGAGGAATGGGTGTCCTTTCAATAAATGATGTGGAGTACTCTGGATACTTATTTGGAAAAATAGGATCCTTGATCTTTACCTCACACATATGCAAAAATCAATTCCAGATGAACTATAGATTTAAATATGAAAGGTAAAACAATATTAAGTTTCCAGAAACAAATTTCAGAGAATATTTAATGACTCTGGTAGGCAAAGATTTCTAAAACAGATCACAAGAAGCACTCATCATACACGAGGAAAAAATTATAAGTTAAATACATTAAACATTAAGAATCTCTGGTCATCAAAGACAGCCCCCCTAAGTAAAAAAGCAAGACACCAAGTGAGAGAAGGATTTGAAATACATTTAGCTAACAAAAATATTCTTATCTGGAACATATAAAGAAGTCCAACAAATCAACTAGGGGAAAAAAGTAATTAAGAAAACAGGCAGGCCGGGCGCTGTGGCTCACGCCTGTAATCCTAGCTCTTGGGAGGCCGAGGCGGGCGGATTGCTCAAGGTCAGGAGTTCAAAACCAGCCTGAGCAAGAGCGAGACCCGTCTCTACTATAAATAGAAAGAAATTAATTGGCCAACTGATATATATATAAAAAAATTAGCCGGGCATGGTGGCGCATGCCTGTAGTCCCAGCTACTCGGGAGGCTGAGGCAGGAGGATCGCTTGAGCCCAGGAGTTTGAGGTTGCTGTGAGCTAGGCTGACGCCATGGCACTCACTCTAGCCTGGACAACAAAGTGAGACTCTGTCTCAAAAAAAAAAAAAAAAAAAAAAAAAAAAGAAAACAGGCAAAAGAATATACTAGGTATTTTACAAAAGAGGATATTCAACAGGATAATAATCATATAAAATGATGCTTGACACCCTTAGCCATCAGGAAAATATAAATTAAACCTCAGGGAGATACTACTTGCACAGTCATCAGAATGGCTAAAATAAAAAAAGATAGACACAACTCAATATGGCCAATGATGTGAAACATTGCTAGTGGGAATGTAAACTGGAATAATAACTTTGGAAAAGTAGCAGTATCTAGCGAAGCTGAATATCTGCATAGCTTTTGACCCTGAAATTCCAATCTTAGGTATACACTCAATAGAAACACACACATATGTTCACCAAGACATATGTATAAAAATATTCATAGCAACCCTGTTGTAACAGTCCCAAACTAGAAACAACTCCAATGTGGCATATTCATACAGTGGAATACCATACAGCAAGAAAATCAACATTGCTACTTATAAGATTGATGAAACCCACAAACATTATACTGAAGGAAAGAAAGCAGACACAGCAATGTAAGTACTATTTTATTCTATTAAATAAAAATTCAGAAACAAGCAAAATTTATCAGTGGTGTTTGAAGTCAGGATAGTGATTATCTGAGTGTTTATGTAGTGATGTTGGGGGATGGACAGAGAATTTATTAAAAAAGGGTTTGGGAAAGGCTTCTGGCTACTAGTAATATTCTACTTTTTAAAATCATGTTGGGGGGAGGGAGGGAACGGGCATTTATTGAAACCTTAAAATCTGTACCCCCATAATATGCCGAAAGAAAAAAAAATCATGAGTGTGTTCACTTTGTGAAGATTTGTCAAGGTATACATTTATAAATAAGTGTACTTTTCTGTGTATATATTATACTTCAATAAAAAGTATCACTAAAGTTCACTAAAAAAGTCAGGCAGGGCATGGTAGCACATCTATAATCCCAGCACTTTGGGATGTCAAGGCAGGAGGATCACTTGAGGCTAGGAGTTTAAGACCAGCCTGGACAACACAGCAAGACTTGTCTCTACAATAAAATAAAAACTAAAAAATCACTCAGGAGTATTGGAGCATGCCTGTAGTCCTAGATACGTGGAAGCCTGAGGTGGAGGATCCCCTGAGCCCAGGAATTCAAGGTTATAGTGATCTATGATCATCCCACTGCAATCCAGCAGCCTGGGTGACAGAGCAAGACCCTGTCTTTAGAAAACAAAAATTCAATTCCTAGGGGGATATCACAAATTAGGTTAAGAGAATTTTTTTACTGGGAGTACACAAAGGATTAGAAATAGGCCAGGCTTGGTGGCTCACGCCTGTAATCCCAGCACTCTGGGAGGCCGAGGCCGGTGGATCATTTGAGCTCAGGAGTTCGAGACCAGCCTGAGCAAGAGTGAGACCCCGTCTCTACTAAAAATAGAAAGAAATTAGCTGGACAACTAAAAATATAGAGAAAAAATTAGCCAGGCATGATGGCTCATGCTTGTAGTTCCAACTACTTGGGAGGCTGAGGCAGGAGGATTGCTTGAGCCCAGGAGTTTGAGGTTGCTGTGAGCTAGGCTGATGTCATGGTACTCTAGCCCAGGCAACAGAGTGAGACTCTGTCTCAAAAAAAGAAAAAAAAAAAGAAAGGAAAGAAAGGAAGAAAGGTTACCTCCCAGTCTGCAGACAACAATTTGCTCAGTCTCCTAAGCTCTTAAAAAATTAAGTAAAGAATTCAGCATGGGGAAAACATGAAATGAGCAGTTCCGGGATGCTTTTCATATTCTTCCCTACTCATAGGAATGATAAAAGCTGAAGGATCTTGTGCTAAAACGAATATGGTCCTTGTACACAGTTTCCTTCCTTTAAGTCTAAAGGTAAAGAAGCAAAAGCAGCTGCCATGTTTAGGTCACCAGGCTAGCAGATCACATAGATATGGGGCCAGAGCTAGATCTGTTAACAAAGAGGATGCATCTGTCTAAACTATTTCCTATTTGCAATATATATTACCCAAGAAGCCAAAAAAGGTGGTGGCAACCAAGGTAGGTGGCTCATCAAGGACTTGAGACCCACAACCTAGCACACACTAGCATGATTAATGAGACCAGCATCTTATTTTATTTAATAACAAAAGCCCGTTTTCATGTTGTACATATTACATAGTTAAGATGAATATTCTTATCACTTAATACATAATTAATAATTCCTATCCTTATTGAACATTAGCACACATATAATAAATGACAAATAAATGATCTAGTGCTGAGGGAAACTGAGCATGGTGTTTTCTCTGTTTCTTCATTGCTAAAATAAGAGAATTAAGTAAGTTATTACATATAAAATGCTTAGAACAGTCCTTGACATAGTCAGTACTCAATAAATAGTAGACCCTATTACTAGATGCCAGTCCTGGTTCTGCCACTAATAAACTCAGGTATAATTTCAGACAAGTAACTAACTATTCTGGAATTCTATACAATGACAGGGCTAATAATGGTTGCTCTATAGCTTCCTTTCCACTCTAAAAAATATTTAAATTTCTCAAGCATGTTACATTAGGGAATAATTCCCCCATACACACACATTAAAACTTTAAATACTGCCTTATTTTCTAGAATACAGCACTCTATAGAATATACACTAAACATAATGTTGAGGGAAGGAGGATTGGTATGCATGAATATGATTGAACATCCAAACTACCTTTTAAAATAGACACTATAACTTGAATATCTATCAATAAAAAAAAAAAATACACAAAGAATAAGGAAAATAGCCCAAGATTTTGGTTCTACGTGTGGCACTCCTGCTAACCTTAAAACAATAAGTTACTCCTCTCAATGTCTGTTTACTTATTTGTAAATTGAGACAGGTTGGGATAAATGATCACTAAGATCGATCTGGGACTTCTTTTACTTTTTTCCTCCTTCTAAACTGGAATGTTGTCAATTATTACTGTTTCTAGAAAACCAAAACCTATACCACCAATAAATGAGAGAATTGGCCAATCTCCTATCCTAAACAGTTCCTAATCTGAGGGTAGGTATGATAATGGCAGGGGCCTTTTACATGGGCCTATATTCACTTTCAATAACCAGTGGACTGGCCGGGCATGGTGGCTAACACCTGTAATTCTAGCACTCTGGGAGGCTCAGGCGGGAGGATCAGGAGTTCGAGACCAGCCTGAGCAAGAGTGAGACCCCGTCTCTACTAAAAAAAACATAGAAAGAAATTAGCTGGACAACTAAAAATATATATAGAAAAAATTAGCCGAGTATGGTGGCTCATGCCTGTAGTCCCACCTACTTGGGAGGCTGAGGCAGGAGGATCCCCTGAGCCCAGGAGTTTGAGGTTGCTGTGAGCTAGGCTGACGCCATGGCACTCTAGCCTGGGCAACAGAGTGAGACTTTGTCTCAAAAAAAAGAAAGAACCAATGGACTTAATTCTGTCTCTGCTTTCTAGACTAAAGTATATTCTACACCACAGAGAAGGGTAGGAAACGGAAATTAGTTCAATATATGTACTTTCCTCACACAATTATACAATAACTGATGATTTCTTTGTACTACAATATATGTAAAAGCTAACATTTATTCAGTATCTGCTATGTGAGAAACCCAGTGCTAAGTAAGTACTTTTAAGGCATTATAAAACTACAAGGCAATTTTAGGTGACTTTCAGGAAAGAAAACTGTTTTAAGGACTGGAAAATACATGACTAAAATCATTTCATTAGGTCCAAAAGATAAAGCCTTGCAAAAAAGGACAATAGAATCTTATTTCATTAATTATCTTTAAGAAAACAACAGATAAATAGAAACTGAAATTTAAACTCTGACATTCACATCAAGAAAGTAATTTAATACTTCCAAATGTTTTCATTATACTCTTACCTTTTAATTTCGAACAGATAGCAGAATTAGGAAAAAAGAACAGAAACTTGTCTAAAATATATAAATAAAAGTTTTTTTAAAAGAAAACTAAAAACCTCTTACCTGAGCATGAAAATTGGACATAGTTGTTGTCTCTATATCTTTCTTTCCCAATATCTCCATTTTCACTGGTGAATTGGGAAAATTAAATGAAAAATAGTCTAAAAAGTCAGGTAAATAAGTAGCTGCCCCATGAACAATACCCATTACATAGAAAGCTGCAGAGTTTTCATTTTCACTGAACACTAGACCCACAAACTCTTCTGCAAACCTCTCCATCTCCATAGGAGACAGGTGGGAGAGTTCATTACTGTAGGCATGGATAACCGATGCACCTCCATTAGGTTGGTGCTCAATATGAATGAGCTGCTTGAATTCCAAAGTGTCCAACCTTTTGAGGTTATTCTGAACTCGTGGCTCCTTTAACGAGACAAATGGAAACTCACTGTTCTCTGGAATTTTGGAATCATAGTGCTTGGTATCCAAATTCTTTCCAATGTAATCCTTTATGTTATCACTTAGGATGCCTTTGGCTTCTTGATCTTCAACATCAGATAACAATCCTGAGCAGATGGTCTGAATAGATTTGCTATACATTTTTGGACGCTTCCGTTTTTCATTCTCTTTGTGTTTCTTTTTCTTTTTCTTCTTTACCTTTTTAATTTGTAAGTCTTCTACATTTGTTTTTGGTTTCTCCTTCCCACCTGTTGGGAAAAATTTTTTTTGAAACTCTATATTTCAATTACTTAAAAAACCATGCTTTACAAATTGTTTTGTAATAAATAAAACGTTTATTTCTAAAACTTCCAAAAATTTACCCAGAATTAATTTTATATTTGTGACTATTTTTGCAAAGTACTGATAATGAAAATTTAGTCGGTCTCTCTCATTCACTCTACACACATTACATACACATACACACATACATACACAGATGAAGACTTATGACAAAATTACACCTATGGTGTGTGCTACCATTCTGACATGCAGTAGAGGCTCAATCAGTGTTTATTGAAGTAAAGAGATGAATGTTTTAGAAAGCATAATCTTCAAATTTTAAAAGCAGAAATTCAGAAATGGATAGTTGAACAAAGGTCAATATCAACAATGCCCTCTAGATGTTTCCCATTGATATACATTATCAATTTTACTTTACCCTAGGTCTTAAAAATTGCATCTAAGTGTAAAGGAGATTTAAAAATCATAAAAGAAGAAAAATACTTGTATGGTATAACAGCAACAAACATAGTAATTCCTTAGCTTTTTACCAAATTGCCTCCTTAAAAATTACTCTTACATCTAAAATGGTCTATTTTAGGTCCACCACAGTTTATAAAATTCCCAGTGAAGACTCAGCAAGGTACTGTAAAGGAGATGACAAAATCAGAATCATCTCTTATGTCCTAAGCTCAAATGATACCCATGTACTGGTAAAGAGATGAATAAAAAGGTAAAAGACATGGGGCATTATATACTTGTATATTAAAGAGCTTTTGTGAAAAAGGCAAGTAGATTCTGGGCTCAGAAATTAGAAATCCAAAAAGTAAAAGATTAATCCACAGAAGCTACACAGGTATAAAATCTAAGTGTACATATAAGTACTTAACATAATCACAATTATATTCATTTCTATATAAGAAAAATTCAAAGAGTAGACATCCTCAGAAGATAACTGGTTAAAAGCCACTGAGCTAAGTTGAGAAAAGAAGGCATTCATTGTTTCCACCTATTATTTCAGTTTCACAGATAACCTGCCATGAATGAAATTCTCCCAACCAGTTTCTTTTCATCTTTTTCTTTCTTTCTTTCTTTCTTTTTTTTTTTTTGGATAAAGAGTCTCATTGTGTTGCTGGGGCAAGAGTGCAGTAGTGTCACTATAGTTCACAGCAACCTGGAACTCCTGGGCTCGAGCAATCCTCCTGTCTCAGCCTCCCAAGTAGCTGGGAGTACAGGTGAACACTACCATGCCTGGCTACTTTTTTTTATTTTTGTAGAGATGGGTCTCACTATTGCCCAGGCTGGTCTCGAACTCCTGAGCTAAAGCGATCCTCCTGCATCAGCCTCCCGAAGTGCTAGTATTATAGGGCATGAGCCACTGTGCCCAGCCCCAGCAACCTTCTTTCCCTAAATTTTTCCAACTTCACATATCTTTTATTCCTTTCTGTTTCCAGTGAGGGAGATGTTCTATTTTCAAAAATAAACCCCTCCCACCAAAACTAAAAACCCTTGCTGAATAGTCTTCTCTTGACCACTAAACTTCTCATAAAGAATCATCTATGCCCAGTGCCTTTCCTAAATTTATTACCTTATCATTCTTATTGCTTAAATTCTGGTTATATTTTCAGTGTACTCAAATATGCTTTCCCAGAATGTTGAAATATCAAACCCAATGATATTTTCTCAAATCATTCTTCCTGATCTTTCCAAGATTTGACAGAACTATCCAGCTCATCCTTGATTACTTTTGACTTCCTTGGTAAAAAACTTAGTTTTTGGTCTAACAGCCATATAACTGTCTCTCATCCTGAATGCTGAAGCTGTATTTTTCTTTCTATAAATGTTTATATATTGTTCTGATCATATTCATCTCTTGCCTAAACTGCTTTCAGGGGCTCTCAATGCCTACTTAATAAAGTATAATCTCTTCAGTCTGGAATCCAAAGACAGTACCCTCAAGTATCTCAAGCTCTAGTCAAACTACACTATACTTACAATTTCTTTTAAAATATATCTAGCTCTATCTTACCTTTCTACTACTAGCAAACACATTTCCTCTCTCTAGAACACCCTTTCCTTGCTCAGTACTTACCATTGAACTCTTTCCTAATAATTCTTTAACAACTATTATGTCATTTCTTTCAAAAATCACTTCACTCCTAATTCATAAAAATTGTTTGTTTCATTCATAGGATACCTCCATATAACATATGTCCTTCAGAATACTATATGAGTGAAACAAATAATTTTTATATTGAGTCAGAATGAAATGATAATTCTTCTATTACAGTATCCCTCACAATATTAATATATTGCTACACATAACACTTAATGAAACTGTAAATGAAAATAATCTGTCTTACCAACATACTTCCCTGAAGTTTACAGTTTTTTCCCTTGCCTGCCTTTCAGTCAAGTTTTTCCACATATGAATACCACTAAATTGTATCCCTGAAAACAACAAAAATTATCTCAAAGTGACAGCAATTCTATAAAAGTAAAATTTAATGTTAATAAATTAGTATTTGTAAAAATTCATAGAAGCAACAATGCCTAAGTGTGCAATGAAGACCAAATTAGTATCATCATGAAAAGCAAAACTAGAAAACTGTTGACATTATTCGTTGCATAGGTTTATAAAGTCATAAAAGGCAAAAGTGTTAATTCTCTAAAGAGTCTATCTGTAAGTAGTTAAGAAATGTATTTGAATAATGTTAACCAATTCATACTTGCTGCCTAGGTATGAACTATCAAAACATCAGATTCAGGTTACTATCTTAAGAACAAAATTAATAACAAGAAAGTAAAACTGTGGACTAACCAAATGAAAGATGAAAGAGGATAATATATGTAAGCAAAATTTTAAAAAATCAAGAAAAAAAATAATTGTGAAATAAAAAAGAGAATTTTAAGAAATTTAAAGGGCACAGGTGTCAATAATAGCATTCCTAAACCCTATAACTGAACATACATGTAAAACTGTGGAAATTAAATTGTGTGATTGTTTGCCAAAATAAACAAAATTTCTAAATAGATAACATACTTGAGACTGCTATCCTTAGAAAGGCCTGCTTGTGAGGTTGGCCCTTAGCTGGAATCTGGGAACTTGTATTTTGGGAGGTTTTCCACCGTTCCCTGGTAAGAGTGGTTCACTGTACCTAAATGGTTTGTACAAACAATATGGTTTATGCTGAAAAGTTGTTTTACTTCTGGGAGTCTGGAATTTTGGATTGTGCTAGGCAGACAGTGCTTATGTAAACAATGCCCAGTAAAAACTCTGGGCACTGAGTCTCTAATGCGCTTTCCTAGCAGACAACATTTCACTTGTCACAATTCACCACTCCAAGAATTTAGTGCATCCTGTATGACACCACTGAAAAGGACTCTTGGAAACACATACCTGGTGTCTTCCAGACATTGACCCATGTGCTTTTTTCCTTTGCTGATTTTACTTTGTATTGCTTCACTACAATAAATAATAGCCATGAGTACAACTACATGCTGAGTCCTATGAGTCCCTCTAGCAAATCATGAAACCTGAGAGTAGTCTTGAGAATCTCTAATAGACACAGTTAAAATGCATTCTTTACATTAAACCAAACTGATTTTAAGAGCTTTATATAATTTCTAACTCGTTTTTTTTCTCTATATATGAAATGCAGTAGATGTATGCGGAGAAAATTTTTAAATACTTTAAGGAAATAAGACCATTTTGAATATCAATTTTCTTCTCTTATACAAACTAGAATTTAAAGTACATATTAAATATATAATTCTGCAACAGAACCCAATAAAGGATCCTGGTAAGTACCTGTAATAGAAAGAATAGAATTCTTTCTGTAACAGAGAGAATAGAATTGCTATCTAAGTAATCTGTACCATCAAGAAATATAAGATTATGTATAAAATAAAAGTATATGGTTGACAGGGGACTCTCCCTCCTCCAAGCCACAGACACATTCACACAGTGGATCACAGACATATGTAGTGGGCCACACACACCCAGAGCACTCTAGATACACACATGCACAAAGAGCCAAAGCCAAAGAGAGAAAACACAAGACTGGGAGTGAAAGAATCAGAAACAGAGAGAGATGCAGACACATATATATACCCAGAGAGAAAAAGACACAGAGACAGAAAGAATCATACACAGAAATAGATACAAAGACAGCCTGTGTTGTCTATGGCTAATTTTTTTATATACACACATATACAGAAAACCTTTTAAATCACAAATTCACTGGCATTAATTTCTACCACTATCCTTGGCATACTTTTTGTATTAAGAAGTGAAAAATAAAAGTTATGGAGAATAACTGAATCTGATTTCATATCTGATATGGAATTAATATATATGTATATAAATCCACTATCGTACATAGAAAAAAGGTAGTAACTGGCTTACTATTTTTATCCTTTGGTCTTTGAGGAATGACTTTGCTTTTTTCACACTGCGATGTTATCACTCTTCCTGCCATGATTTACCTACCTGTGACCTTAAATACACTAGAAATAACCTTGGAAACTAGCTTCTTTTAATCCTCATTCCACCTGCTCACCAGCAAACTTCTGTAATATGTTATAACAATAACATATTTAAAAATACTATAAACATAACATGTTTGTTCTTGTAATATATTAATAAGCAAAATAAAAATGGCTTGAACATACACTTATGCTCAGGAATGCAAGTGGTGAACTTCAGTATAAAAGGATGAGACCTACTAAATAAGCTTATGTTTCAAACTTACTTATTCCTTTAAGCTATTTTTTTAAAGGGCAAATAATCCAATTTTATCATTAAAAAATATTTATAAGATTCTTACACTAATAAAAACCTTACATGCATAGAATTGTGTATATTAACTCTTGTCATATAAAAACTTGACACAATCTTTAAGAAAAACCTGGAGAAAATGAAACTGGTGAGGAACAGAGTTAGCATCTATCTCAGATTTTCAAATGCGATCATCAAACTATCAATGCCTGTGTATTCAACAGCTTGCAACATTAGAATTATCAGAAGAAAAAATTATAAGGAAAGAATAAAAGTTGGAGGCCATAAAGTAAAAGGCGGCACACAGTAGTAAATAAAAGTATAACACAACATCAAATTGAATCTGTTGTTGCTCCAGGACATCAATAACAAAGGAGGCCTTTCCCTGACCAGAGGCTCACTTGAGAAATGGCCACACATGCTGAGCAAATTGTTTCGGCTGGATAATAATAGCTAACACTCACTGCTTTCTACCCGACAGGCACTGTTTTCTAAACGAATCATGTTTTTATTCACTTAGTGACTTATATAATACATGCAGAGGAGAGAACACAGTTTGGTTTTGTTGCTATTTAATCACAAAAATTAATCTTTCATACGTATTTACAAAAAAGATTCATGCCAACTTATTATCTGTGAGCCAGATACTAAGCATTTACCCTATACTTTCTTGCATATAATCTTCACAACAGTGTGTGGCAGCAATTTTTACTTACCTTCATTGTAAATATATCTTCCCCTAAATTTTTCCATGGTCATCCCAGAAGTCACAAATTCATTTTCGAGTCTACTTCATTCTTTTTCTTATCGTCATTAGTTTCAGTTTAACTCAGTTCAAAATATCTCCTAAATTTATGTCTACTTCAAAGTCAAGGTTGATATTGTATATTCTTAGAAAAACCTCCATTTTTAGGCTATTTTAAATTTTATTTGCATGTATAATCTCTATATTTGCATAATTTACACTGTTAGGAATCTAGCAATCAACAGAGAACATACAAGCTTTTTATAAGTATTTCTAAGACAGGTTCTTTCTCAAGTGACAGAAATTTACATCACTGTACATTCAAATAGATAAGAAAATAACTATTTGACTAAATCAGTAAAAAAATGACTATTTGACTCAACTAAGTAAACAAAATCATTAATCATGAGCAGCTGTATAGAACTGGTATGGTTAGACTCAATTCTTGCCTCAAAGGCTTACAATCTAATTAGACAACACAGACAAAACACACTGGAAAAAGGAACAGAACAAAAGGATCATGACCATTAACTAAGCAGCCATCAACTTAAAACGTAAGCTCTAAAATGTTTGTTCAAGGTTAAAAGAATATCATAGAAAACAGAGTTCTAACATGTAGAAAATAGAGTTTATATAAGGTGGCACCAAAGAACATGTGGAAACATGACAAAGAATGAAATGAAAACATGGAGTTTAATTACTCTTTTTAACTTAAATAATATAAATTAACCAGTTATTCTGTTGCACATGCAGTGCTGTGGCCTTTTCTCCCTTATGCAGATATAAAGACTTATCAACATATAAATTCAATATAAAATTAATCAAGATCAATATATTCTAATTAGCAACTGGCAATTTGATAGGACAGCTAATGAATTTGCTAGCTGTCTAGCAACCAAATGCTATTGATTCTTCTTACCTTGTTGAGTGAATTTAAGACTGTCTTTACTTCTATTCTACCATAGATTCACTCTAAAAAGTTCAAATTTATTAACAGTTTCTGTATTATACTTATCATCCAACCACCTACCCCCAAAATTCTTCTCTCCACCGCACTCCCATGTATATAAAACAGCAATTGAATGTAATTTTAATAATAGAGAAAAATAGGAAACAAACAGAGGATATTTCTTAAACATGCAAGAAACATAACTCTTCTGATTTAGCTTACAATAAAATGTTCCCTCTAAATCCTAGACTACAACATGGTGACTACACAGTCAAATGTTTGTCAAAAGATCAATTCTTTCACCATCCCTATCATGCTAAAAATTGCTTCAGTAATTTTTCTTAATTTCTTCCTTTTGTTTTAGAATATTTAAATATGGATAAAGACTAGTAATACATAGATACTTAATACATAGATAACTTATTTTAAAATAATTTAAGAAATCTAATAGCTTAATGAAGTTTAACCTTCATAACTGTTTAATGACTCACTAAATAAATACACTAAAGATTTTACTATACAGAGTAGAACTCCCCACTATTACATTTACTTTCTATTTCCTCATCATTAATATATACTCTGCAAAATTCAACACCAAATAACATTTCTTATTGTATTCATTTAGCCAATAAGTATACTTAATAGTATAATAAAGGAAAACTAAAATTACTGAATAAAACTTACTTTTTAGCAAAATTTTTACTTCTCCATTCTCTTTCTTGATCTCATTCATTACTTTATGTTTCTTTTTTTCTCTCTCTTTTTCTTTGTCTCTTTCTTTAATTTTGTCTTTGATTTTATCTGAAAGATAAAATAAAGCAAATGTTTAAAACCATTATAATTTTATTTTTCTCCATAAACTATAGTTTAATTTCTAGAATTACAATATACAAAGGAAATGAGAATGAGAAATATGACTTTTTTTCTTCCTCTCAGGTTTTAGGAAATTTCTAAATTTCCTTTTTTATTAAACATGAAATACATGCCAAAATTTATCATTATGCATTTCATTCTAATGATTATTTTTCACTTACTTCATGTTAACCTAAATATTAGATTTATTTTAATTCATTTAAAATAACTGGCTAATTTTAACTGAAGACAAACCTTCAGTTTGGAAAAGTGCTAGCTTTGAAATTGGGCATATCTAAATTAGTAACATAACATCAAAAAAAATTACTCAATCTCAGTTTCCTAATCTGTAAAATGATAGTTGATACCTACCTCATAAGGTTACTATAAGGATTAAATGAAAACGAATATAAAATGACTATGCAGAGCCTAGCATATATAAAACTAGATGTTAATTCCCTTATTCTTGCACCTTTTAAAAAGAATATGACTAATCTGATTAGTTGGTGATATTGTAATTATTAAAATAAAGGGAGTAAGAACTCTAGAAATCACATTTAAAAATTCAAGCTTTAGGCCGGGCGCTGTGGCTCACGCCTGTAATCCTAGCTCTTGGGAGGCCGAGGCGGGCGGATTGCTCAAGGTCAGGAGTTCAAAACCAGCCTGAGCAAGAGCGAGACCCCTTGTGGCGCGTGCCTGTAGTCCCAGCTACTCGGGAGGCTGAGGCAGGAGGATCGCTTGAGCCCAGAAGTTTGAGGTTGCTGTGAGCTAGGCTACGCCACGGCACTCACTCTAGCCTGGGCAACAAAGTGAGACTCTGTCTCAAAAAAAAAAAAAAAAAAAAAAAATTCAAGCTTTGAGCTTATATATTTGATATCCCATTTCTTATTTGTTCAATCAACTTCTCATGCACCCAGAAAAAGACAAGATATAGAGGAGAATGAAAGTTCTTGCCCTCAAAAAACGTATGATTTAACAAAGCCATGACAGAAGCGTACAAAAACTGTAAAATATCCTGGAATATAATAGAGATTATATAGTGTATATGCATACTGCATAATCTCTTAAAGAGTCCTCCCTACTTTCTTTTCTATAAATACTAATCCAAACCTAATCACCTAAAGATTAGATTACTATCTAGATCAGCACTGCCCAATATAATGCTAGACAAAAACATAAAAAGAAACAGGTGAAATAATTTTAATACACATTTTATTTAACTCAATATATTCAAAACATTATTTCAACATGGAACTAATATTAAAAAAATTATTGAGATATTTTATATTCATTTTTTCATAAGATTTCAAAATCCAGAGTATATTTTACATTTACGACATCTCAATTCAAACTAGCTCCACTTTAAGTGTTCAACAGCCACATAAAACTAGTGACTACCATATTAAATAGCACATATTTTAAAAAAATTCAATCTATGACTAATAAACCTATTTTTAAACTTCAATAATGATTTAAAAATACAAATTAAAAGACATTATTTTCACCTATAAAGCTGACAAGTGCTTTTTTTAAAGTGATAACACTTCAACCTGATGAGAGGACAGTTGATGATACAGCAAACAAAAACAGGGATTCACTGAGTCAATAAATATGCAATCTTGAGTTTAAGAAAAAGGTTAAAGATAGCAACGGTGACGAATAAGCTAGATCTTTGTGTTCGCATATAACTTAAATTCTGCAGAGTATCCCAAAAGTCACCATACAGGGAAAATGGGAAATTGTAGCTAAATGTACCTTTATTTACAAAATATTCATTACAAAATTTTACAAAACTTTTCCTTTGTATGGAGTCTACTGTGTGCTGACTTTTGGGACACTCTGTAGAACCGATCCGACCGTCCTGACATTTCTGAGTAGTTTGCTGGTCTTGCTTCCTGATGTTTAAAGTCCTTGAAATCCTCTCAAAGGCTGCCATCTAGCTATATACTCCAAATTGCTGGAGCTTAGAAACATAGGTAGGTTAGTATTTCCTAAGAAATCAAACATTTTCTTAAAACTGAACTATTTATCATTTAAAATTACAACTGAAGAAAAAAGGTATCTGAAATATCTCCATATTTCTTTTCCAATCATCCATGTTAATCTTATATATATAGAAGTCTAGACTTCTAGATCTTTTAGCAAGGATAGGATTATGATGGAAAATAGTACCCTGGCATCATTGCTTACTGTAATACATTTCCTAAGAAGACTGTGGTTCAGTTTTTATTCATTTCTTTTGTGACCAAGAAATGTATTATAGTTTTATCCTTCATAATCTAATCTGTTTCAAAACATTTCTAACTCATCTTCTCATTGTAATTCTCAGAGTAAAAGTAGAAATTCTGCCACCATAAGAACAAGAAACTGTTTCAAAGGCAAATTTAACTAAGGGCTACAAGTTCTATATGAAAGTGAACAGAGGAATCATGACACTGTGGTATTGGCAAAAGGAATAGACAAATAGATCAACAGAAGAAAATAGAGTACAGAAATATACCAAATTAAATATAATCAAGTTATCATTTAACAAAAGAGTAAAGGAAATACGACAGAGAAAAGACATTCTTCAACAAATGGTGCTGAAAAAACTAGACATCTATATGCCTAAAAGGAAAGAGAATTAAATCTAATCCAGGGCTCATGGCTGTAGGCCTAGCTACTTGGAAGCTGAGGCAGAAAGATCTCTTGACACCAGAAGTTTCAGACTAGGATAGGCAACACAGCAAGATACCAACTCTTAAAAAAAAAGAAGAATCATCTAGACACAGAGCTTACACCTTAGACAAAAATTAACCCCAAATGGGTCACATTCCTCAATGTAAAATACAAACTCATAGAGGATAACATAACAAAATCTAGATGATCTAGGGTTTAGCAATGACACTTTAGATCCAGCACCAAACACACAACACATGAAAGAAAGAACTGATAAGATGGATTTCATTAAAACTGAAAATTTCTGTTTTCCAAAAGATATCATCAAGAGAATAAAAAAAGAAGCTAAAAATTGAGAGAAAATATTTGTGAAATACATACCTGATAATGGACTATTTATTATCCGGCCAGGCGTGGTGGCTCACACCTGTAATCCTAGCACTCTGGGAGGACGAGGCAGGTGGATTGCTCAAGGTCAGGAATTCGAAACCAGCCTGAGCAAGAGCGAGACCCCTGTCTCTACTATAAAGAAATTAATTGGACAACTAATATATATAGAAAAAATTAGCCGGGCATGGTGGTGCATGCCTGTAGTCCCAGCTACTTGGGAGGCTGAGGCAGCAGGATTGCTTGAGCCCAGGAGTTTGAGGTTGCTGTGAGCTAGGCGGACGCCACGGCACTCACTCTAGCCTGGGCAACAAAGTGAGACTCTGCCTCAAAAAAAATAAAATAAAATAAAGGGACTATTATCCAAAATAAAGAATTCTTAAAGCCCAGCAATACGAAAACGAACAACCTGAATAAAAAAACGAAACAAACATGCCTGTAATCCCTGCACTTTGGGAGACTAAGGCAGGAGGATCATTGCCTAGGAGTTCAAGACTAGCCTGGGCAACAAACACCACACGGAAGAATATTACAATCAACAACATACCAGTTGATTCTTATTATAATTACCATTTTTGAAAACCAGTTCTTAGTAATAAAATCATTTGTTTCATCTGGTTATAATAAAACCAGATGACATTTGTTTCTATTTTTTGTAGAGACTGGGTCTTCCTCTTGCTCAAGCTGATCTTGAACTCCTGACCAAAAGTGATCCTCCCACCTCAGCCTGCCGGATTGCTAGGCAGTCTCTGCCAGTATCAAAATCATGAGGGCTCCTGGGGTGAGTCAGTAGTGGACACCGCCTTCACTTCTAATCTGACCTCGCCTTCAGGCCCCTTGAGGCCTCAGAGAAATTCTTGCTCACCACCTCCCTCCAACTGTAGCCATACAGATCTACAATGAGGGCAGAGAACTAGATTCAAGAAGGCCAGTGACTCCCACGTGGAATAAGTAAAAAGAATTCCACAAAACTGGCTGGGTGCAATGGCTCACACCTAGCAATCTGGCAGGCTGAGGTGGGAGGATCACTTTTGGTCAGGAGTTCAAGATCAGCTTGAGCAAGAGGAAGACTCAGTCTCTACAAAAAATAGAAACAAATTAGCCAAGCTTTGCAGCGTGCATCTATAGGCTACTCAGGATACCGAGGTAGGAGGACTGCTTTAGTCCAGGAGTTTGAGGTTGCAAGTGAGCTATGATGACGCCATCGCACTCTAGCTAGGGCAACAGAGTTAGACTGTTTCTCAAAAACAAACAAACAAACAAACAAAAGAATTCCACAAAACATAACAGAGGCTGCAAAACAGCTAAAGACAAAGAGGAGACTATAAAAGGAGTCAAAAGAAAAACTGACTTCTCAATAGCCAAAATATAAGGCAAGCCAACAGAATATTTCTATGTGCTAAAAAATAATAAATAAGGAAAGTGATGTCACAAAGAGTAGACACCATCTGGCTTCACTAGCCCTCACAGAAAACCAAAAACAAATATCCAGCACCAATATCCACTCAAACCTGAGGCAGAGAGAAGTGAAAAATTCTGAGCAGATAGTCAAAGAAATGGACTTCTATATTCACGACACACCCCCTTCCCCCTTCGTCTCCCAGGCACCAGGCAGAAAGCTCACCCAGGAGACAAAGTTTTTACAGTGAAAAAAGTGAGACTGAGGCAAACACCCAGCTTCTCCACCATCTTGAGTTTCCTTGTTGGAAAACCATTCCCCATCACATCCCATTAGAAGCATTACAAGTGCCTATAGCAGGCGTCTTCAAACTACGGCCCACAGGCTACATGTGGGTATTTTTGCCTGTTTGTTTTTTTACTTCAAAATAAGATACGTGCAGTGTGCATAGGAATTTGTTCGTAGTTTTTTTAAACTATAGTCCAGCCCTCCAACGGTCTGAGGG